ATCCCGCCTGAGAAGCCCTACGGGACCATTCTGCTTGCCCACAACAACAAAGGTTCCTGATAAATGTTAGTGTGTGTGGCTCCAAGACAACAATTTTCTCCTCTGATTCCCTCCCTTCCTGAAGCTCAGCACAGGTTTTCACCATGGTGGGTGGGGGTGAGTTGGCAGAGAGAAGGAGGAGAGCCCATGAGGCTCCACTGGCTGCCCGCACCCCTTCTCTCCAAGCCCAGCTTCATTGGCGCTTCCAGACCCAGTGAGCAGCTCCTTGTCCGCTGACCCCAGGTGCCTCTCATCACAGCCCAGCTCGGTGAGCACCATGGACGAGTGCTGTTCTGCGTTCGAAGCCATTTCCCAACAAGCTGAGCAGGAAAATGCAAAGGCTCCAATGCAAACACCTGTGGAAGGAAGGTTTCCGGGATGCAGGGGTGGTTGTGTCATGGGAGGAAACACACTACGGGCTTTCCCTGGAGGAGAATCGGTCTGGGAATGAGGCCTTTGAAAGAGGCCCTGAGAAAAGAAAGTCCCTGCGAGTCAGCTGCCCACACGAGACCCAAAACACGTCCAGATTCCGGAGGAAGCAAGCCACTGACTGCTGATGCTCAGTGGCAGCCAGATCTGCATGGACTTTCCCCAGCAGCACCTGGACACAGTGACTACTACTCAAAAGGGGCATGTTCCCTAAGGGCATCATGTCACCTCTCCCTGAGGGCACCATAGTACTGACTGAATGCGACCTGGATCACACAGCAACAAAGCCTTGGCTGGGTCCAAGGGTCCAGACTGAAGAGAAAGCATTTCTTACTATCGGATAAACACTAACGGCTAACTGCAAGGTCGGGTGTACCAACTCACCAGCCACTCTCAGAAACCCTATACAGGGTTGCTGTGGGTCAGAACCAACTCCTCAGCACACAACAAATCCCAAATGTAGCCCTATACTTGTATGTTCTGCATAACAAAAACATTCCTGAGAAGACTGAAAATGCCCACAGGGGCTCCAGTGCCCACCCTGGTTCTCTCTGGAAAGTTGGCACCAAAAGGAACGCTAGTGGTGCGAAGTTAAGCTTTCAGCTGCTAACTAAAGGTTGGCAGTTCAAACCAACCCACCGGTTCCTCAGGAACAAAACCTGGAGATGAGCTCCCATAGACTGGTGGTGGTGGTGTGCCACCGAGTCAGTTTCAACACCTAACAACCCTGTTTAGGGCTTCCGAGGCTGTAAAACTTCATAGAAGCAGAAATCGCCTTTCTCCTGCGGAGCAACTGGCAGATTCGAACCACTGACTTTACAGTTAGCAGCCCAGCTTGTAATCCACTATGCTACCAAATCTCCTTCCCATAAAGACTACATACAGCCTAGAAAACCCTACAGAGTCCGAAGCAACTAGATGGCTAACAACAACAACAACAACAACAAAGGCAGCACACCAAGGAGTCTCCCAGACCTGTGGGTGCCTTCGCTTGGCTCTCTCGGTCCCTCTCACAGCCCGTGTGGGGTCCTGGGCTTCTTGGAGACGGGGACAAGCACCGAGCAAAGCCCCGGTCACCATGGGAGACAGAATCTCTCCAACTGGTAAAGCTATCTGCAGAATGGGGGTCTTGGGCAGCAGCCATAAGGGCTTTGTCACAGTTCAGGGCACAGTTTGGTGGGGAGGTGGGGCCACTGAGCTTGCCTCAGACCTGCCAGCAGGACCAGCTACCAGCTGTGTGCCCAGCCACCACCAGGCTGGCCAGATACCTTCCTCCCTCCTGGTGGTTTCTGTCCTCAGAGGCACTGCCCAGAAGGGGATCCTGTTCTCCTCCTGCTGGCTGAGAACTCCACTGCCCGGGGGACCCCACTGTGCTGATCTTTAACTGTGTTGTGACCTGGGGCCTTTTTATCCACCCCAAACCCGCCCCTCCCCCCAGCTCCCCTCTATCTGTCTTTGCTGCGTTCACCTTCCCTCCTCGGCCTCCTGGCTGCAGCCCTTGAAGGTTACCAGGGAGGGACAGGCTCTTGCTGGTACCCATGCAGTTTGAGGGATGCTGATGCAGAGTTCTGCCCTGGCCAGATGAGAGCCAGTGGATAGACGATTTGAAGTGGGGTCAGTAGGAACAAATTCTCGCAGAGCCCGCCGGTGGCTCTGGGCTCCCACTTTACCATCACTGCCCCCCTCCCAGGGCGCCTCTCTCGGACTGCTGGAATCCAGAGCATCCTAGAGAAGTGAGAAGCAGGTCGCAGGTCTGGGGCACAGCTGTCATCCTCATTAAAATTCTTCTTAAAACCCTCCTGAGAGGGCCCCGGGAGAAGATAAACTACCGAGAGAGGCCTTCAAGGACACTGCTTTATTGATGTAATGAACTTCAGAACATCTTTCTTACATTAGAAAGGGGGCTCCGTCTTAGAACAAGGAGCTAACCTGTGACTGGAACACCGGCCCCTCTCAGTGGCCATCTAAATCTGTACACAGAAAAAAGTTTCTTAGTGAATTTCTCTGGTTTAGCTGGGCCAGAGAAAGTGTCTACAAAAAGTGGGTTTCATTAAGGCAACATCTGCTTTTCCAAATATAAAATACAGATAGACTTAGATAGTTGTTTCTGCCTTATAGGATATTGTTGTTGTTGTTGTTGTCAGGTGTCATTGAGTTGGTACTGACTCATAGCGACCCTACGCACAGCAGAATGAAACATTGCCTGATCCTGAGCCAACCTCACTACAGTTGCCATGCTTGAGTCCATTGATGCTGCCACTTGGCCAATCCATCTCATTGGGGATCTTCCTCTTTTTCTCCGACCCTCCATCTTACCAAACATGATAGCCTTCTCCAGAGAGTGGGTCCCTCCTGACAATATGTCCCAAGTATGAGAGACGAAGTTTGGCCATCCTCCAAGGAGCACTCTGGCTGCACTTCTTCCAACACAGATCTGTTTGTTCTTTTGGTAGCCCATGGCACTTTCAATATTCTCCTCCAACACCGTAACTGAAATGCGTCAATTCTTCTACGGTCTTCCTTATTTACTGTCCAACTTTCACATGCATGAGGTTATTAAAAATACCATGGCTTGGGTCAGGCTCACCTTAGTCCTCAAGCTGACATCTTTGCCCTTCAACACGTTAAAAAGGTCTTGTGCAATAGATTTGCCTAATGCAATACGTTGTTTGATTTCTTGACTGCTGCTTCCATGAGTGTTGATACTTGATCCAAGAAGAATGAAGTCCTTGACAACTTCAATCTTTTCTCCGTTCATAAGAATGTTGTTTATTGGTCCAGTGGTGAGGATTTTTGTTTTCTTGACATTGAGATGTATGTAATCCATACCGAAGGCTGTGCTGATTGGAAGAGATCTGTCTTTGTGCCCATTCCAAAGAGAGGTGACCCAATGGAATGCAGAAATCATTGGACAATCTCTTTGATATCCCATGCAAGTAAAGTGTTACTAAAGGTAATACAGAAATGGCTGCAAGCATACATTGACAGAGAACTTCCAGAGGTTCAAGCTGGATTCAGAAGAGGCCGTGAAACAAGGGATAGCATTGCTGATGTCCGATGGATCTTGGCTGAAAGCAGAGATTATCAGAAGGATGTTTACCTATGCTTTATTGACTATGCAAAGGCTTTCAATTGTGTGGATCATGACAAGCTATGGACAACGTTGTGAAGTATGAGTATTCCAGAACACTTAATTGTGCTCATGAAGAATCTGTACATGGATCCAGAGGCAGTTGTTCGAACAGAACATGGGAACACTGAATGGTTTAAAATTAAGAAAAGTGTGTGACAGGGTTGTATTCTTTCACCATACTTATTCAATCTGTATGCTGAGCAAATAATCCAAGAAACTGGGTTCTATGAAGAAAAACGTGGCATCAGGATTGGAGGAAGACTCATTAATAACCTGTGTGATATGCAGATAATATAACTTTGCTTGCTGAAAGTGAAGAGGACTTAAACTACTTACTGATGTAGGATATTAATGAACATAGTCATTATCCACAAACTAATTCGATTTTTTATTGGTGAAACCCAGGTTCTCTCTTTCTTTGGAGAGAGAGGGACGCTGAGCTGTAGAAAACTAGAACCTCTGTGCTATGGCCGAAAAGGTCTTTAAAGGATTCGTCCAAGCTCGGGGAAGATTAGCGGGAGCACAGGCCAAGCATGAAGAAGAATCTGTTTCCCGCCTGGGTTCCTGCCAGAACCCCCAGGGAGGGGCCCAGACACCTTCAATCCTCTTCTCAGAGGTGCTGACAGACAGGTAAGGGCGACGCTCTAAAGGCTAACGGTGAACCGTCAAGAGGTGGACCCTCGTCCATGCCCAGGCCCCGTGACACGTGCCTTCTGGACGCTTGGTGGGCAACGCAGGAGCGGCCTCCACCCGGGAAGACGCGCTGAGACTTGAGGGACCAGTGCACCGCGGACCGGCTTCAGGGGTTTGGAAGCGAGGTTCGGGACAAAACAGGATGCCGCCAGAGGTTCCAGACTCGGGTTGGGGAGCAACGGGCCGAGAAGTCGCGGGTTACAGTGGCGGTGGGGGGATGGGAAGGCAGGGGACGCTACGGGTAGGCGATGGGGCCGCTCCCTGGGGCCAAACCTTGATGCAGCGGAGTTCTAGGCGTCGCTGAATCGGTGCGCAGCCGAAGACTAGTATCTCCAACCGCGGACCGATCAAGCCAGGCCAGCGGTCAGAGCCGCAGCTTTCTCTGGGCTGGGAGGCTGCATCAACCGGGGCCGGAGGACTGGAACACGAACCCACGGGGCAAGACAGCCAGCGCGTTGGGGGCTGGAACTTCGACCAGCGGACTGTCCCACGCAGCGGCCACCCCGCGCCGCCCCGCCCCACCCGCCCTGCGGCCAATGGGCACCAGGGCTTAAGCGTCACGGCCGTGGCGATTGGATTGCGGCTCATGAAAGCGGCGCCGCTTTTTATAGGGCGTGGAGGGCGCGGGCGGCCACCGAGCCCTAGGAGTCGCACCGGGCGCTGCCCAGCCCCGCGCGCCCGCCTGGCCCGCGCCTCCCGCCCGCGCATGGCCCCGGCGTCGCTCGGCATGAACCCCGCTGGGCTCAGGGCGCGCGGTGGGGGCGGCGCGGGGCCCGGCGCGCTGCCCTTCAGTGTCGAGTCGCTGCTGGAGGCGGAGCGTGGGCCGGGCCCGGAGCCCGCAGAGTCCGCGGGGCCAGATGAGGAGAGGCCGCCGGGGGCCTGGTTCCCACCGGCCGCCCGCGCGTCCCCGTCACGTAAGTTCCCAGCTGCGCGGTCCCGGACACGAGAGGAGCCGTCGGTCCGGGCTGGGGGACCGGAGCGGGAACGATTTTCTAACTCTGTAAAGTAACTAACGTAGTCATTAACGCGCCCGGCCTGCGAGCGTAGGAAGAAGTCCTTGAGCCCTCGGGCGCGCACAGGACAGGCTCCTGCTCCCGCTGTCCGCGCGCAAACAGTTTGCAGGCGGGTACGCAGCTCAGATCCTCCAGGTTACTTGAATCGGGTCCGTTCCTGCCTGGGGAGCCCATTGCCCCCACCAGTCCTTGTGATGTTACTTCCTGGTCTCCAAGACCTTCCCTCTTTGTTCAGCCTCCTGGCACAGCGAGGGAGTTCAGTTCCTAGTGGCCCAGCGCGCCCTCCACCTTGGACTTCTTTCTCCCAAGTGGCCAGAGTTCCATCTTCTCACACCTCACGTTTCGTTTGAGGCGAGAACTCCGTGTCCTGAGTGGCCCACGCCGTCCCCCATACATCCCCCAAGTGGTTGCTTCTCCTACCCCAGTGGCTTGTGAGGTCTCCTGGCCTCCGGAGGCCACCGAGCCGGGCCTCGCAGCTGAACCGGCACTTCCAAGGGACACGAGGTACCCGGGACAAGGGCGCACGCTGCCGGGTCTAAATGTCCTTCTGTGTCTTTGCTCTCAGGCTCACGAAGCCCTCCACCCTGCACCCTCCGGAAACACAAGAACAACCGCAAACCACGAACGCCTTTCACCACCGCGCAGCTGTTGGCGCTGGAGCGCAAATTCCGCCACAAGCAGTACCTGTCCATCACTGAGCGAGCCGAGTTCTCCAGCAGCCTGCGCCTCACCGAGACACAGGTCAAGATTTGGTTCCAGAACCGCCGCGCCAAGGCCAAGCGACTGCAGGAGGCCGAACTGGAGAAGTTGAAGCTGGCTGCCAAGCCGCTGCCGTCCACGTTCGCCCTGCCCTTCACCCTGGGCGCCCACCTACAGGGTTCCCCGGCCACGTACGGCGGCGCGGCGGGCGCTCTGCCACCGTTGCCCGGGCTCTTCGCCGCACCGGTCACCACCTACGGCATGTACTACCTGTCCTAGGGCGCCTGGACCAGCGCGTGCTCCGCGGCCGGGCCGTAGGCCTCGGAGTCCCCCGGGGCCGTGGCGCAGGGCAGCGGGATGTTGGCCCGGCCCGGGAGACACCCGGCTTTGCAGTCTGAGAGATCTGCGCGACTGTCCTGCGGGCGAGCGGAGCTGCCCAGTGGAACCTCGAGGCATTTTATTATTTCTGTTGTTAATACTATATTATAGTTGATTCCTGAAGCTTATTTGTATCTTACAGATATTTTTTAACGATTTTCTAAATCCTGTTACTATCGGTTTACTGAAAAGCTGTGTACATAGTTCTGTACCGTGTCCCCTGAGGGACCCAATAACGCTTCCTATCTTATACAACGCAGCCAATAAAGTATTTTAAGGTGTGCCCCGCGGACCGACTTCCTGTTTTGACCTTACAGGTGTGAAGGGAATTTACTAGGTTGTTTTGAGGTACAGAAGTAATTAATGTAGGAACTAAGAATTTAGATTAACAGTTTGATGTCAAAACTGCGAAAAAGAAATTTACTAACTTCATTTTAACTAGTTCTGTAACCATCTAATCAACGGGAAACTTTATGTTTATTTTAGGGTTTTTTTTTTTTTTTGCAATTAACTGTTTTGACTGGAGAACGTTTAGCAAACAGGTAGCAAAAATGCTGCCACCCCGTGTGCTTTTGGCAGTCGAACCTGCTGCTGCCCCCTTGCCCTTGCCCCCCACCACCATCCCCGTGACTGCTCAGTGTGATGCCGGGAGGGAGCTTGGGCTAGGGTTGGGGACGAGCGCGCACCGTGCTGCCTCTCCACAGGGATGTCACCCACGACCGCACTGGAGTGCAGCGCTACCGGGTGCCTGGGCCAGGGAGGTGGAGGAATTGCCCGGTGCTGACGGCTCTGCGCCCCAGAGAGGCCCAACCGAACCTGGGAAGCCCGGTAGTCTCTAGGGGTCTTGGGTTCGTCTACACTACCTAGCCCTAACTCGCACGGGCTGATCAGGGGGCGATCTCCAAATCACGGACTTTAAACTGGGGGCCCTCTAAAGTACCTGTTGGCATGACAAGGTCCACTGGCCAGTTTCAAGCTTTAGTCACTCCCACCGAGTTTCAAATCGGATTGTGGGCTGTGAGCCTCACGGGAGTTGTCTCCTTGGGGGTGGGGAGTCGTCCCAGCCTGCGGCTGAACCTAACGCTGCACAATGGGCAACTCCTCCTCCCCTCCCCCTCTTCCACCTTGGAGCCGAGGAGGGCAGCAGGCGGTATCGATTGTGTGGACACAGGATCGAAATTCGACCCAGGGAGAGGATCCCGCCCCGAAGTGGATGATGGTCGCCGTTATTACAGATAGACTCAGCTCTTCATCTTGAATTCCAACGCCAGGAAGCTGCAAAGCTACACCTATCAGTACTCTCGGGATAGTCTCCCTGTTATTTCCTGGGACGATATTTAAAGAGACATGAACTCAGTTCCTGAAATTCCTGCATCTGATGAAGAGTGGAATTCCACAAAGTTGAGAGAGAGAAGTCTGATGCCTTTCCAGCTGCTCCTCGAAGAAACAGAGCTGCTGGCCTTCTGTGAGTACAAAGAATGCAATGCCTGTGTATAGGGAGGCCGGTAAGCACCCAGACACCTCACCTCCCAAAGCACCCCAATGCCTTTTCCAGATACCCCAGCCCCCAGCCCCAGAATACCCACCACCACCCAGAGCACTCTGACGCTCCTCCTCCCAAAGCACCCCAGTCCTCATGACCTCCTGCTCTTTAAGGTCAGATGAGTCTCATGCTCAGATTTCCCTCTCAAACCTGAGGTCCCTGGCAAGTCCACAAGTTCTACAGCCAAGGTGTTTGGTCTCAGTGGTTAGGAGAAATACTCCAAAACTCAAATGTGGCAATAAAACCAGTGTCTGTAGAAAGTGACGGTGGGCTCCCACTGCCCTCTGTGACCCTGTCTGTCCATTCCCCATGCCAACGTGGGTCTCACAGTGAATCAGGGCTCTTCACAAACATCCCACCTTCCCATATGCCCTCAAACCCCTGCGAAACAGACATAGGGGAGGGGGCACAGGAGCTCCTGAGACATCCACCTCTGAGGAACAGGAGATGACTGCCTTCAGAATCGTAGAGGTGGGGAGGGGCGTGTGGTTTTTCCCTGGTGACAGTTTCTGACCCTGAGACACGCCTGAAGGCCTTGTCAGTCCCCAACCCCACTGAGATGAGGGACACCGCTGTGGAAGCACCAAGGAGGGGATTCCAAGTTAACCATTGGCCCAGGGGAGGGAAGGGAGATTGGTTAGTTGAAGGAACTTGTCAAAAGCAAGAGAGTTGTAAACAGGATCTTGTGTGGCCACCTACAGGGACTGTCCCTGCGTCTGGAGACCTGCTGGTCCAGCCAAGACCAGCAGTCAGTGGACTTCAGACCACTAAGGATGCGGATGCCTCTTCTGACCGACCCTGGTGGACCCCCATCTCATTTAATGGTGACAGAAGGGACGGTGAGGTCTCCAGTGTCACTGACTCCCACTTTCTGGTGTGGATCATGCTGGGCTGCCTCCTGGGCGACATTAGTTCTCAGAGCCTTGCTTGTTATGTGAACTCACCTCTGCCCAGGCCTGGGCCATGTAGACCATGCAGAGGATGGGGCAGCTCAGGCAAGTCACAGTATTTCTGGAGGAAGGGATTGTGCAGCTAGCCTCACCCCCCCTTTTATTTGTTTATTTACCTATCTTGCCACCTACCTACTCCACATGTGCACTAATGTGGGACTGTCTTAATGCTATGAACTCCATTCCAACTCATAGTGACCCTGTATAGGGTTTCCAAGGAGCAGCTGGTGGGTTTGAACCACCAACCTTGTGGTTAACTATCCAGTGCTGATTCTACAGCGCCACATAAAGCGAAAGGGATGAGAGGTGAGAGGCTGGCTACTGGATATGGTATGTTTCATTTGAGACTTTCAAGTTGCTTCAGAAACAAAACTACTGGTGAAGACCCCAATGGTGACTAAGACCCCAAAGAGAATGGAGCTAGTATTATGTTTTATTATGGGGAAATACTGTGCATATACAGGAAAATAATCACACACATGTCACTCGGCTGTGATTCTGATTATGCTGAATCTGTAGATCAATTTGGGGAGCATGATCATTTTAACAAAGTTAAATTTTCTGATCCATGAATATGAGGTGTTATTCCAATTAGATGTTAAACTATTTCAGCAATGTTTTGTCACTTTTGTGGTGTAATGAATCACTTTTATATGGCCCTTCTAGCTGTGATATTGTAACTCCCGTTAAATGACTGACTGGGACTATGCAAATAAGATGTGTAAACTCTTGCTGGGATTGGTGGGGTATATGCAAATAAGGTGCCTGGGGCCCACCAAAAGGGATTGGTCAGTTTTGCCATCCTCTTAGGTTTAAAAGGAACCAATCTCAAAGGTTGGGGAAGGACCTCACTGCCACCAGGAAGAGCTGAGGGTGGAGTGCACCCTCTCCACCGGGTCTGCCTATACTGAGAACCTCCTAGACCCAGGAGACAGCTATCGCGACACTGGAGATGGTGAGAGAGTGAGGCACAGCTGGTACAGCCGAGTCCGAAGGCAGTAGAATCTGAATGTTGGTGTGAGCTGGCACAATAGGCTTTCTGGTCCACAGAGCCAGGTGGCTGCAGTGGGCTTGCCAACCCGCAGAGCTAAGAGCTGGGCCTTACTCAGCAGCAGAAGCCTTTGAGCGCACCCAAAGAACTATCCTGGTCGAGGACTGTCTCCTGAGTTGTTCCTGTACCTCTTCCTTCCAAGATCCTGATTCCGAATTGTAACTGTAGCGTAGTGGTTATGAATCAGGCTGCTTATCTCACAGTCAGCAGTTCGAAACTACCAGCGGTTCCATGGGAGAAAGATGAGGCTTTCTGCTCCCGTAAAGATTTACAGCCTCGGAAACCCTGTACAGGGTCGCTATGGGTCAGAACCGACTCCCTAGCACATAACAACAACAACATACTAAAACCCCTCACTGTGAGTATGGTAGGGGAGTTCTGTGTAGCCATGGCAACCAAGGATTGAACCCAGAAGAGCATTGAGTGCTGTGGGGCTGGGTCAGAATTGCTAACAAGCTTGGAGAGTGGAGGTCTGTCCGACCTAACAGGAATCAGCTTGGGGCTGAAGCTGGCACTCATTCTCTTGTCCCCTGAAGTTGGAACACCCCTGAGCTACTGTTTTAGACCTTCTCTTGTTAGTTTTTATTTGTAAGTTTTGTTTTGTTTTCTTTTTTGATGCTAGTAAATGAAACTGGTTTCTTAGTTTCCTTTTCAGATTGTTAATTGCAAGTGTGTGGCAATACAAATGAATATTTGTATATTGATCTGGTATCTTGCAGCCTTACTGAAATCATTTATTAGTTGTAAAAGGTTTTTAGTGAGTTCATTAGGAAAATCATAGAAACCTTTATTAAACAAAAATATCAAAATGTGAAGCGATTGTTTCTCAACATATCCTCCACCTAGGTCTGTATACTTCTGAAGGCTGGGTTTCCGTTGATCTAACCCTTCACTAATATGTTAGGGTAACGTTAGCACTGGACTGCTAACCACAGACTCACCAGCCGCTCCTAAGAAACACTAAACTGCGTCACTATGAGTTGGAACTGACTCCTAGTGGTGTACCCACAGCAGAAGAAAACCGTGCCCAGTCCTGTGCCATCCTCACCGTTCTTACACAGGAGTCCATTGCTGCTGCCACCGGGAGGCTCCTTGACGGCCTTCCTCCTTTCATGGACCCTCTACTTTGCCAAGCATGATGTCCTTCTCCAGGGACTGGTCCTTCCTGATACCATGTCCATATAAGAGACGAAGTCTGGCCATCCTGGTTTCTACGGAGCATTCTGGCTGGATTTCTTGCGCATCTTAATTTACACCACATCAAAGTGACAGATTTGGCATCCTCAAGGGATATGTTGCCTTTAAAATATTCTTTGAGTTTCGGAACACAAAGAAGACTGAAGGGGTTAGTTAGATCAGGCTGTAGGGGGGATGGGGTTTCCCAATGAAATTCTCATAGGACAGTCCCTGCTCACCTCAAAGATGAGCAGGTGAGGTGCACTGTTACGGAAAAAGAAAAGACACTACTTTCCTCACCAATGCAGTTTTCCACGGTCTGAAACCTTCTTCCTAATAAGCTCCCATGATCATCCTGTATCTTTGAGAAAATCTATCCAGATTACCCCTTTGGAATCCTACAAAACAGTAGCCATAACCTTCTGAGCTGACCTCTCTGCTTTGAGTTGGACTTGGCCAGCAGGTCCTTAGGAAGCCACTGATTAGACCTGTTTTATGTGAAGGCACCCTAAAGAGACAAAGGAAAGTATGCTAGGGAGGGAACTTGTCTGCATCCATCCAGTTTGTAGAGACACGTTAAAACACGCTGTGTTTGGAATAAATCCCTGCAGGTATGAGCTGGAACCCTAGAAGCAATATTTTTTACTTCCGTTTGTCATCAAATACAGATAGCTTTACTTCGTCCTTTTTCATCTGGATACTTTGTATTACTGTTTTCTTCTTGCCTAATGGGCCTGGCTAGAACTTGAAGAGAAGTTGTTGGTAAGTACCTTGGAGTCGGTTTTGACTCACAGTGACCCTGCACAGGGTTTCCAAGGCTGTAAATCTTTACAGGAGCAGAAAGCCTCATCTTTCTCTTGTGGAACCGCTGGTAGTTTTGAACTGTCGACCTTGGGGTTAGCAGACCAATTCGTAAGCATACGCTACCAGAGCTCCTTTGAAGAGAAGTAGCAAGAGTGAATGCCCTGGTCTTGTTCCTGATCTTAGGGTGAACACATCAGTCTCTCCATAAGTATGGTGGGGTTAGCTGTGGGGTGGTGGCTGGTTTTCAGATACCCTTATTCAGAGTCAGGAAGCTCCCTTCTACTCATACTTCGTTGAGTGCCTTTATCAGGAACGAGTGTTGAATTTTGCCAAATGGTTTTCCAGTTATCTATTGTTATGGTCACATGATTTTTGTTTTTATTCTGTTAATAATATGATGTTATTGAAGGAACTCTGGTAGTGTAGTGATTACAAATCTGGCTGCTAACCTCTAAGTCAGCAGTTTGAAACTGCCAGCCGTTATGCAGGAGAGAGATGCGGCTTTCTGCTCCTGTAAAGATTTACAGCCTCAGAAACCCTGTTATTCGGAACTGACTCCACATCACATCACCACCACCAGCCACCACCGCCATAATGTTATGGATTTCAGATGTTTAAGCAACCTTGCATTTCTGGGATAAATACTACTAGGTTATGGTGTTTATTTCTTTTTATATGTTGCTGAGTTCAGTTTGCTTGCATTTTGTTGTGATTTTGTGTCTTTATTTAGAAGTTTTCTTTACTTGTGATACCTTTGTCTGGGCTTGGTATCAGGATGATAATGACCTCATAAAATGAAAGTGTGTGTGAAGAATTAGTATCATACTCTTTTTAAATTCCCACTAGAATTCAGTGGTAAGTTTTGCTGGACCTTGACTTCTCTTGCTGATTCAATTTCTTCCCCTCTACTCAGCTCTGCTCAGATGGTCTGTCTTCTTGAGTTAGTGTGGCAGTCTGTGTCTTTCTAGAACCGTGTGTTCTAGCTTATCCAATTTGTTGGTATCCCATAGTTCAGAGTGGTCATTTCATTGGAGTCCCTTCTAACTAGTCCTGCTTCTCTGGCTGCTTTCAAGATTTTCTCCTTGTTTTTGAGTTTTAGCATTTTTAACTCTTCATGTGTCCATTTGTGAGTATTTCTTTGCATTTATTCTACATGGGGTTCTCTGAACTTTCCAGATATGTAGGTTATTGTTTTTCAATAAATTTAGGGTGTTTCTATGCACATTTTTCCTGCTCCTCTCTCCGCTCTCCTGGTACTCCCATTAAGCAGATGTTAGAACAGTTAATGGTGCCCCAAGTTTCTCTGAAGTTCTATTAAATTGTCTTCATTTTTTTTCTGTTCTTCAGTTCGCATAATCGCTGTTGCTCTACAATTTTGTTTATTCTTACTTCTGAACAATGAGGAGTTTGTTTTTTTTAAAAATCATTATGATCTTATGGATACAAGCACACTTGGCATACTGTATTTCATTCCATTTTAATTACTATTCTTACTGATGCACAAATTGCTCCATTTTTGGCCAATGGAACCTCAATTCAGGTTTTTGGTCCAACCCTAGTATTCTTTAATAACTTACTTAATTTTTGACAAAACAATCCAAGCTTTTCAGTAGAAGCGGCTACTGATTTAACAAATACATATATGCGATATACATTTTAAGTTCATAGTGATACTTCCTATTTGAATTTAAAACGACAGGGATTTTATTAACCTTGCTAATACTGTATATATTCTTTATCTTATGCCAAGCAGTTCAGTTATCACCACTTCAGTCATCTGGGGCTTGGGGCATTTTAGTCCTGGTTTTCATGTTGGTAAGTGCTGCCAAGTCAGTTTAGACTTACAACAACCCTGTATAGCGTTTCTGAAGAGTGGTTGATGGATTTGAACTTCCGACCTTGTGGTTAAACAGTTAAGTGCATATCCAACATCACCAGATCAAGTCTTTAGCTACTGAAGATTGTACTGCATAAATTGTCTTATGAGTAGATATCTTTGAACTTTGCCAATATATGTTTAAGATCTAACCCTAGAAATAGAATTACGGGCTCAAAGAAAACAAGCAGAAACCATTTTTGCAGACTATTGCCAAGTTTTCTGTAGGGGTTCTGAGTGCTTAGCTTCCCAGCATCACCAGCAGGGGGCGCTGTCAGACTTACTGATTTGTGTGAGAAAGAGTCTAAGAAGTATTTTAATTTCCATTTCTCTTGCCTCTTCTCTCACTCCCATGTTCTTTGTTGACGATAATCTCAAGGCAACCCAGAAAGGGCGTTTGTAGACTGATTGTTTTTGTTTTTAATACTTTGTTGTTACGTGTCGTCGTCAGTTTTGACTCATAGCGACCCTGTCTAGGGTTTCCAAAGAGCATCGGGTGGGTTTGAACCTCTGACCTTGCAGTTAGAGGTCTAGTGCTTACCCTCATTACACCATCTCCTCAAAAACGAAAAGGAAAATTGCCATGGTGCTAAGCTGAGGAGAAACCTTCCTGAGAACTTCTGGCTACAAGCTGGGCTTTTCACGTGCGGTTCTGTTGCGGCCAGCGGTCTGGGCCAGAACTCACACAGCTCCTTTTTGAGCATCCAAGAGAATGCTGTTGAGCTCAGCCTTGTTTGTCTGGGACTTTGCCACACACTCAAGTCCGGGCAGGTCTGCTTGCTGTCTCTCTGCTCCAACGCCCTCTCCTGTGCCCCTTCACCTTCCTGCTTCAGGCAACATCCCACTGATGGGCAGCCCAGTCCTTTGCAGATGTCCCTGCATGCCCCTTCCTGGCAACCTGATAAGGACACACATGTCCACTCTGCCACCTTGCACCTAACACATACGAACATCCACTGCATGGCAGACAGGATAGCCCTGAGTACTCATGACTCAGAGAGATGCTATGTTTATCATCCCGGTTCCCACTGGAAACCCCACGGCTCCATGACACCCTCAAACCAAGCGCTCAGACCCAGACACTTGCAGACACCAGTTACCTGTGTCTCTCTCACTGAAAACAGACCACAAATAGAAACTTTCAGTGGAAAACATTTATTTCACATGCTCAAAACCAAGATCCTCACAGCACTTGCTACCGAAGTGTCCACCCTCTTTCTGAGTGGCAGGTAACATCACTGTCCAGAAGCTCCGGAAACGGACACCACCCGCTGAGGAGCCCAAACAGCGAGGACGGCCCAGGCCTGGGTCCCAGGGCAACAAATTCCAAGGAGAGGAAAGGAGCCCACGATGGAAACCTCTGGCCCTGGAAGGAGTCCCTCCCCGCCGGGCCCATCAGTGGTGTTTGCCTCTCTTCTTGGTGCTTTTAAATCCTCGCGACGCACCCTGACCGAAACAGATGGTGGCAGGAACTCTGGAAGGGAAGGTGTTCAGTTCAGTCGCTGTTTCCTTTCCAGCCCATCAGCACAGTGCTTCATGTGTGCTGCCTTCTTGCTAGAGCCATCTTCAGCACCCCCGCCCACAGGGTCCTCCGTGCTATGAGCCATCCAAGCCCCCTCTATCGTCTGGTCTTGTGCTCTCTCTGCCACTAGCCATCGGGAGTCTGAGGGGCCCTGACCTCCAGGACTCACGTGCAGGTCAGGCGCAGCTAACTGACAAGCAGTCAGAGACTCTGAAAGCACAGAGTCCTACGGGTTCGGAGTCTCTCGTGATTTTTCCATCTGGGAAATATTTTTCCCAGAATTGGAATTACAATAAATTTTAACCCAATAAAAGCACAGTTAATACCAGAAAAGCAGGCCCACAAGTTATCAGAGAAACTTATTTCTGTTATAACTTGTGGGTTATATATATAAACATATGTATATATATAATAAGGAGCTCTGGTAGCATAGTGGTTACGAATCGGGCTGC